ATCCATACAGAGATAAAATTGAATAATAAATGCTCAATCTTGAGATACACGAGATTGACAATGAATGCATCCAAAAAGGATTATCTATCTGTCAACACCGCATGTACCTCTATTCAAATAAACACATGGACGCCATTTTTTTTGTTTGACTTCGTTATTTCTCTCTAATTTGCTCGCTTTGTCTGACTTGATAAAACAGCCCTTTGATTTGGAAAGCAGCCACTGTCAAACAACACTTTTAAATTTTATACCTTATATACCCTATTCAAATAGCATTTACGGCACGATGAAAGAAACAAACACGGGCTTTCGATCGCACTAGTATTGATCAGTAGACTGGGTGCGGGATAGTAAGACAATATAAGGGCTGTAGGATTGCGTAAATACCATTTGAATAGAGCGTAATATACATATGCTTGATTAGATCTGATTCTGATTGTTCTAGGTGTTTTGTGTGTAGAAGTGGATAATTTTTAGGTTAAAAATGTAATGAAACAATCCAAAAATATCAAAAGGTTTTATTTTTTGCCCAAAAAATTTCACAGATAATTATATCCCCCAAAAATTTCCTAAGCGAGGTAAAGATCCCTCAAATTTATGGAAAATCTCCCAATGTGGTAACCTTGTTGCCAAGCCACATACAGCGCGTTTAGTCAGAACAGCTAAAATCCTGCAAGTAAAATGTCTGTTAGTTTTTAAAATATCCTGAAAACCAGAAACATCAATAACAGTCATTCACCATAGGGCATTTTTTGAAACTTCCTCATTTGACTCAAATCAGGATACACTGTATAATTCAGACTATCTATGTTACATACTACTACGTACAAAACATAACGTTTGATTAAACCAGATGAATGTTTTTTCTCATACACTTATAAATGCTTTTTCGTTGAGCTTATAATCTACGATAAATTGCATAGTCTGTGGGCCTTTTAAAATGATTACTGATTACCTATGCCACCGTTTCAAGGACGCATAGATTTACCTGGGCTGGTATCTTTAACAGGTGGTTGAAGTTGAAGGTAAACGTAAACGTCGTGCCGTCCGGCGGAGCCTTCTCACAGGACCACCGATTGTGTGGTAGATGTTAGTATTTCAAAGAATTTATAATATACGGGGGGTATTGAAGATATACTTGTGACATACACACTGAGAATCAAATTTGTCGAACGGCTTGAGTTCAATGTGTACGAGAGAAAAGTGTGATTAGACACATATGTTGCGAAGCTCATCATCGCTTTGCCTAGCTGACGCGGCCAATAGGTTACGCCAATTCCTTGAATTAAGATGCAACTTATGCGTTAGTTTATTCTCTACGCCCAAATAATGGTTTTAATTTTTGAGCGTATACATTTTTGCAACATTGCATCATTGGTTCGTTTGATAACACCGCATCTTGTACATTCCAAGGCAAGGTTTCCACCTCCACGATCATAGTTGAGCAGTTTTGGTCAATCTAGCGCTCGTATGGAATGTCGTCCTGATTCGAAATGGCTTTCACCTGCGTACACGCAGGCAGTGGTAATTTGTATTGCGTAACGTTATTTGTTACATTCTCCGATCGCAGCGCTGTTCCAAAATGTAACAATAACTTAGGATCTGTTTATTTTATCACCGTCTGTGGAAATCAAAGATAATTCTAAAATTAATTAAAACACCAAGTCATATCAAAATTGAAATAAACAATTCTAATCGAAATGAAAACAATGTTAAATTGAATTTTCGAAGATACCTCTTTCTTGGATTTGACAGTAACCTGACCTATTCTAGCAGCCTGCGCGGATATCTTCTGGTGTAACATCTTGGCAACGCGGCATATTGCACGAGCTTCTGCGTCACCGTTGCTAGGCAATGTGGTGATGACCTTCGCTCTTAAGCCGGCTTGTATCTCTTTCTAACATCTGCTGACACATATTCTCGCGCTTCTCTGTCATACACGTCGAACTCAAGCCGTCAGACAAATTTGTTTTTCACTGTAGAAGAACTGACTGTTAGTCTAATCATATTGGCAAATTTCCCCGAAATAATTGTAAAGTCTGATTTTATTGGTGCAAGTTGTTTAAGGATGTATTCAAAACGTCGACGCACAAAATGGGTATCCCAATTTTTGTGGGAAAACTTCTCATTTGACAACAAAGAATGAGAAAACGTGCTTTTTGGGATTCAATCGAAAGTATTGACAGAAACGAAAAAAATGTTCATATAAGATTTGTTGGTATTTATGAAACCTACAAAATGAGACCACATATAAAAAGATCCGACTAATAACAAAAATGTTATGGCCGAAAAGCGAGGCAAAATGCAGGTTTTGGCACTTGTTGGTAATGCGACGATAATTTCACGCAACTAATTGAAATTCTTCAAATCCGTAGGATTCATAGTTCTAAATAACAACTACAAACTTGGATTACCTGAGTCAAGCAGTTTTTTTGAGAATTTATAATTGCTTATCGCTAAACACCTGATTTCCGGCCATCACTAGTAGTTTATTGAGCAATATACAGGGTTCGTTCAAAATGCATTTAATAGCAGAACACACGTGTTTACCTTGCCGATATGAATCACAAACCATTCCGAAAGATACATGTTATTTTTATGCGAAGAACAAAGGTTACGTTTTTTCTTCTAAACAAATTCAAACATTTCGTATTTGTGAGTAATTGAACAAATGCTCTACGGTATTCGAAAAACATAGTTACTATTCACATTTTAAAACAAAGCGGATGTGTCTATCATCTTTTGTTGCGAGTTACTCACAAATACATGATTGAATTTGTTTAGAAAAAAAAACGTAACCCATCCTTTTTTAGATAAAAATAACATTTATCCTGATGGATGCGATTCATATCGGCAAGCTAGTGCATTTTGCTATTAAATGCTCTTTGATCTAACCCTGTATATTGCCCACCAGGCCAGTAGTGTTGGCCGGAAAACAGGTGTTTTGGGATAAGCAATTAGAAATTCTTAAAAACCACTTGACCAATCTACTCCAATTTTGTTGTGGTTATTTAGAAGTACGAATCCTACGAATTTGAAGAATTTTAAATATCTGCGAGAAACCATCGTCGCATTACCAACAAGTGCCAAAACCAGCAGTTTGCCTCGGTTTTCGGCCATAACTTTTTTGCTATTAGTCGGATTACGTGTGGTCTCATTTTGTAGGTCTCATAAATACCTAAAAATGTTATATGAAGAGTTTTTCCATTCCTGCCAACCAATTTCGATTGAATCCCAAAAAACACGTTTCCTCATTCTTTGTTATCGAATAAAAAGTTTTCCCACAAAAAGTGGTGTACCCATTTTATGCGTCCATGTTTTGAATACCCCCTTGAACGACTTATACATTAAAGTCAGTGTCACTGTGAAATACTCAAATAACACAATGCGCATGTCTCTTATTCCTAAAATGTTCTTTTAAATGGTACGGACACGGGTGGTGCCACCCTTTGACGCGGCAACATCGTTGCCATATTGTGTGATTTTTCTGCAATTTGGGCGGAGTTTTACACCTTCCTTTGTTCCAGTTTTTTTCAATTAATTTTTATTGAAGGGAGTCTAATGAATTGATTTATGTATAAGTGAGTATTATGCTATATCGAATTATGTATACAGGTTGGTGTATTAATAAAACAAGTTAAAAAATAAATTCAGCACAATATTAATTTGTCTATACAGGGTGTCCGCAAAGTTGGGGTTTTCCTGTACACGACGTGTAGATCTTGAAAACATAAGCAATTTTTCTTAGTACCATATACACCAATGTCTTAAGGGAACCGAGATAAAGGGCTCTGCAACATCAAAAATATCTGAATACCGTCCTGTAGCCGCGACTCGCGACATCCCCGAGTGGTACTAGGACACTAGCTCAACCCGACGACAGAACTGGGTCGGGGTCAGTGTGTCAGGTCAGTATGCAACCCGACGGTTACGGTCACGCGGGTAGAGGTAAACGAACCCGTATAATCGATTGCGTTTCAAAAAACAACAAGCACTAGAGACGTGGCTAGAGAAGTGCAAGTATCAAAAACTAAAGTGTGGCAAACGCTGCGTGAAGAGCGGCTGTATCCGTTTCACGTCCAACGTGTACAAGCCCTTCAACCTGACGATTTTCCAGCAAGAGTACGGTTTTGTGAGTGGTTGTTGCATCAACATGACAATAATCCGGACTTTTTGAAGTGCATATTGGTGACAGACGAATCTACGTTCACGCGTAATGGGGTGAATAACTTTCGCAACACTCATGTTTGATCAGTAGAAAATCCGCACGCTGTCCGTCGGGCACATTTTCAACAAACATTTCCGGTGAATGTTTGGGCTGGCATGGTGAACGGTATGCTCATTGGATCATTTATTCTCCCAAATCGATTGGACGGGATGCAATACCTAGATTTTTTACGCAACATTTTGCCTTCCTTGTTAGAAGATGTGCCATTAAGTGTAAGACAATCAATGTGGTTTCTGCACGATGGTCATATTTGTTACCTCTGTTCGTGGTCTGCACCACCGCCGGCGTCTGCTCGGTAGCGCATCAGCTGATTTCATTTTCTGTTGGAGCGGTATGATTTCGGGCAGAGACGTACTTAGCCCTTCTCGTCAACTGCAGAGTGAGTACTTTTTCCTTTATTTTTTTTACTTGGTCGCCCTCGTTTCACTACACATTACCATTGTTATTTCAAGGGTAGTTGTTTCTGAAAAGGAAAAACTCAACTTTGCGGACACCCTGTATACTTTTGTCCATTACTGTATATATATTTACGCAATACTCGTAATCCTGCCGGTAGGGCGAATTGATTGAAAATTTGACCTCTCGAATCCGTACCACTGAGCGAAGCCGAGAGATGCATATTACAAATAAAAAATTATCTAAGATTTTTAGGACACTACTTCATGAATCTGTTGACAATCTTACGGATTTGATCCACTAGGAGCTTTAGAAAAGTTCTTAGTCATGCACCGTCAACGCCGGTCGTTTTATCTGATGATTATTTTCGTTTCAGTGGGCATACCTCAAGTGAAATGGTGCGCCTCGGAAGGAGACTACAACGTGATGGTGATGGAGTTACTGGGGCCGTCCTTGGAGGATCTATTCAACTTTTGCTCTAGACGATTCTCCCTAAAGACGGTCTTGCTATTGGCCGATCAGCTGATCTCACGTACTGACTTCATACATTCAAGAAATTTTATACACAGGTAAGATTCTACTACACTTGTTATTTACAATGTATAGATAGGTTACCACCACTGTCTTTAGATGTCGGCCTTAGGTGTTTGTCCCTTTGAATTTTACGTATGAACGTCCACATACAGCATAGGTTTGGGCATATTCTTGGGTAATCATGTTTCTACTGAGAAAAGCAACAAAAGTTTAAATTACAAACACCAATAGAACAATTCTAATAATTTTCCATCCATAGAAATTGTCTCATTGATCATTTTTTTTTCAAGGGATATAAAACCAGACAACTTCTTGATGGGACTAGGAAAGAAAGGCAACCTTGTATATATTATAGACTTTGGTTTAGCAAAGAAATATAGGGATGGGAAAACACATCAACACATACCCTATAAAGAAAACAAAAATCTGACAGGTGAGTTTATAATACATAAAAGTATATTTATTTATTTTTTACTATCAAATTTTCGTTGCCTGATTTTAATTTTTCTGGAGATCGTTATCTTGCTGCCTTATTTTTGATATTGAAGATCAATTGTGGCCTTTTCCGGGTTTTCAATAATCTTATGAGTGATTACTTTCAAAATTAAGGTTTTATAAAGAAATTCGATATATGAGGTTTGTCTCCATATTTCAATCAACGGCTTTTAGCAATGCAGAGGTTCCGCATGGATTATTGTAACCCTAAAAAGTTTTGCTTCACATAATCAACCTTCTTTGTAACATTTTATTCAATTTATAGACAATTCTCTCGTTGGATATTGACCTTAACCTCCTAAAGAGATTAAAAAAGGCGTTTCTTTACTATTATTTACCTACTTTATGAACCATTCATCATTCCAGAAGTGATTGTACTCTATGTCTTCAATATAGGCCGGGCATTAACATCACTTATGATAAGATGTGATTTCGAATGTAATAATGAAATCAGTACTATCTAAAATGCATGCTTATTAATAACCTTAATCAGTTGTAATGAATAATCAGCATTCTGTACAGAACTCATAACAATGCGTTTGTTGCAAGAAATATTTCCTGTATGTGAAAGCAATGGGCTCTCATAATAATGTTCAGCAAAATCCAGAGCTTCTACATTTCTCTGTTATTGCTGCTTTTCGGGATTAACTATACGAATACTGTTCTAAAAATAAAAAAATGCGTTCTGATTTGCGTAAATCACATTGCTTCGAGTTATATTGATACAATTTCATGTTATAGTAACACCAAATTTTTTATCATGCTTATATCTGATGTCAAATAATCGAAAATTTATGATTTTTCATTGGATAGCAAATTTTATTTCGAGGAAACAATACTGCGTGAGTGTTACGCAAAATCCGTGAAATATTTTGTGCTGCAACCTTGACTGAAATTTTACCATTAAATAATTTGGTGGCTGACTGACCATTTATACGTACTTATAATGTATTTTATTTAATAAAATAAAGACGTAATACAATTTCTTAAATCACAGCATCCCGAAATTCACAAATACTAAACATGTCGTACGAACTACTAAATCTGCTTTATCTAAGCCAGGGTCAAGTAGACTTAGGGCTTCCTGTGCACAAATATAAATCCATTTAGAAATCATGTAACACGTATCTTCATAATATTCTCCATTTTTTTCCATAAATATATCAAAAATCTTTAAACAACCAAATATAAAACAAATAAATTAATAATTAATCAAATCAAAGATATTTAAGTATCGTCTAACGAATGCATAAAAAGTAAAGGAACATATAACTGGTATCCTGTAATGCATACTGTGACATCTAAAAATATCACAATTAATATAATATTTGTACACCTTTACGTAATTCAAAGTTGTCATGGTACTAGTACACAAGCTGAGATTATGTAAACGGTTCGGCGTTCAATAGAAGGAGATGCGAAAAAAGTTGTTGTGCGATAAAGGTCGCATGTATGTCGGTTAAATATTGAAATTAATTTACCTTACAAGCAATAGAAAGTAATAGACGCGATTCTATTGATTTCAATGATTCTTCAAGAAGAATTCTTATTCATTCATCAAAGTTATAGCTCTTAAAAGATATTCAGCTTCCTATATGAAAATAACGGAATCTGTTCTTTTGAGATTTCCTTCTTGATGTTGCTGTTACTTGATCTGCCAGACTTACATGTCAGACTATTTCTTCCTGTTCTAATTTCCAGTCAACGTTCTCTTTAGGTCAACTATTGAAAAGACCAGAAAACATCTTTCCAGAATTCTAAAGCAAAACCAATTCACAGTTTTTATAAACAACCTCTTTCAAATTTCTGTGCAACAGTCTGCGGCACACTATTGGCTTTGGCATGACTACTTGACCATAATAACTCACTTAAATATGGCATGACAATAAAAACAGATCTCATCAAATAGATGTCTAGCCAGGCGAATCAAATTACATCAAATGCGATGAAATTCGGCGTTAATTTTTGCGACATTATTTCACTTGTCATCATTGCCTAAAAAATAGACTGCCGCGACATAATTCATTTCTGCACAATAAGAAACAATATCATGAACTTTACGAAACAATTTTTCTTAAATAACGTAGTTTTTGTATAGCTGTTTTGCTATATTGACATTTCTAGATACACCATACAGGTTATTAATTGGAGTTTTACGTATTGCATAATTCAGTTCTATACAATAGCCCAATATTTTTTTTTATCGTGTTCTAGGCACGGCTAGGTACGCAAGTATAAACACGCATTTAGGCATAGAACAGTCCAGGCGAGACGATCTGGAATCCTTAGGTTATGTATTAATGTACTTTAACAGAGGTAGCCTGCCTTGGCAAGGTCTCAAAGCAGCCACCAAGCGGCAAAAGTATGAACGAATCTCGGAAAAGAAGATGTCCACGCCAATTGAGGAACTGTGTAAGGTAAGTAGACACATTGCTTGACCAAATAAGCAAACGGTGATACAAAACGACTTAACTTTATTCTCAATGTCATATTTTCTTGTTAATTTTTTGTTATGTCTGCAGAGGGATGACTAATAAAAAGTATTAATGTGCTGCTTTTTCCAGGGTTATCCAGTAGAATTTCCCACGTATCTGAACTACTGTCGACAGTTGAAATTTGAAGAGAGGCCTGACTATAGTTACTTGAGGCAACTATTTAGAACGCTATTTCATAGACAGGGATTTACTTATGACTATGTTTTTGACTGGAATATGCTCAAATTTGGTGAGTTGATCATTGGTTTGTTCGTACAGTAGTCGGTAACTTGTCGGTGACTGTCAAAATCAGAATCAGAGAGATGTTACCTGTTCGTACAGATTCTGTTTGCCGACAGCTAATCCGCTGTTCGTACAAAACCTTCTGACAGATCAGTGGACACCAGTCAGACAGTGACAGGTATCAGAGTGTGTCAAAACTATTTTGAGGACTAAAATTGATTCGCAAGAGGCATTTAATGACCGATTACTCCTCTCTAATGGCCGGTCTGGGGACTACTTCGCACCGACGGGCCGTTGGCGATCTAGCTACGCCAACGGGCTTTGCTCCTTATAGCTCTCTTCCATGGTTTCGCGGCGCGATGTACCAGCCTGACTTCGGCCTCACATCGTAAGCGTGTCGAACTTCGTACATCCAGATTTGGCCGATAAAACCGCTCATTTGTTCCTACGGTGTCGAGATCGTGTAAGAATCTACATGAGGAGCTTTTCCCAGTTCTACTAACTTTAGGCAGTTCCAAAATAGGAATAACAAAGTTTCTTTAAGCCCTAGCATGTAGGGTTCACCTGCGCGGCTGCTTCGGTGTAAAAAAACTGAGTGATATACAAAGACCTTGAAGATCTACTGAGGAGAGAATTAAACCCAAAAAACTGAATTTTGTAGAGAAAACAGTGCAATAATTCAACAGAAACAAGTTTTTGTAACATTTTCGGGTGAGCAAGCGGCAGAAGAAATTTTAATGAAATAACATTTTAAATATCAGCCGGCGCCATAGTACTTTGTGCTCAATATTTTTTTTTTATTGACACGGTGACGGCAAAATGAATTGATTATGAATACAGAATGAAAAATCCGAAGAATAGAGGACTTAACTTTCAAGAACCATAATTAATACGATTTTTGTGACCACTAATCTTTTGAAAATTTTTGCTACAGTTGCAAAATGCGAAATTACGCGCTTTAAGTCTTACTTCTATGTATTTTCGTACTCTCAGTTCTTTTTGTCCATGTTGGGAATTCTGTGAAACTTATAGCTATTTGGCAATAAAATGACACTTAGAAGGTTTCGAAATTCAAAGTACTTCCGGGGAGGAACGGAAAACCGAATTTTCTCAAAATCGTTTTGATTTTTTCCTGACTTTATTTATATTGGGATTTTAAAATAAATTGCACAATTGGCACGTTTTCTCCTCTACAAGAAGGCTTACTCGGAATTTCTATATGACGGTTCGTCTCTTATCCTCCAGCATCAACCTTATTATTTCTTAAGGACGCTATATTACATTTTTGCACAGGTGAATAGACTTTTTAATTTTGATTAACAAAATGCCACACCTTAGTTACTTGTATTTCTTCCTGACTTTATTTGAAATGGGATTTCAAAATAAATTGAATATTGTCATTGTTACTGACAAGAATCTACAAGATGGCGTAGTCAAATTTTCAATTCGACATTTCTTCGAATTTTGTTTTTTTATATTGGAATTTTGTACATTTAAATAGACTGTTCAGCTCTAAATTCAGTGATGTATTTCGTTAGTTGTCTATAAATTTGTTGTTGGATGAAAGTTAAAAGGAAATAAAAAGATATGGTGAAACCTGAATACGAAATGAACATTTTATTGATGCTAATAACAATAATAACCATAAATAAGCAGAGGTCTTCACCCTATTGCTATGCAAGCAAATGAAATCTGATAGTTTCAAGGCCTACCCAGGAACTTCTAGAATAACTAAGGTTTTGCAAAGTCAATGTATGACATATAGGTACATTTTTGAAATCAGAATAGCAATTCTACTCGTGTGTAAGAATCCAATATGGCATCTATAAGAACAAATTAAGTTGATGCTGGATGACAAGAGACGAAACGTCATACTGAGATTCTAATTGTGCCGTCTTGTAGAGGAGAAAATGTGGTAGAGTTGATGTTCAATTTATTTCGAAATCCCAACACAAATAAAGTCAGAAGAAAATTAAAAGCATTTTGGGAAATTTGGTACTTTCAATTTCAAAACTTTCTAAGCGACGTTTGGCTGATTATCTGAATACGCAACTTTGCCCCTAGTTAAGTGACTTCGCATCCTTTGAAGTTTTCCAGATCCCAATGTCGAATTTAAAATACCCTTTATAGGGAAAATATTATTTTCACCCCAGCAGAAACAGCCTCCCCTTCGTGGGCAGCCGTTAAAAAAGGCTGTATCACATAATCTCCAGAATTTTTTATTTTGTTTATTTTCTCATCAGCTTTGGGTTGGACTTACATAGCTAGAATATATAAATACTGTTTCTGCATACACTTCCAGGCTGGATGACAAGGGAACAGAAAACAAAAACCCTATTATCCGAGTTTTATTAACCCTTCTGTTGCCACCCAAAAAGTTCTACAGCGTCTGCCACCCGGGTACCCGCGTACGAATTTATGGATATAAGTCCTCTATGGGACTAAATAATTATATGCATTGGATGGATGTATATTTATTCATGTTCTAAGAAAGTATTTAAGCGGAATATAATAACAATTATATATGTAGAGTCATTTATAATCCTAAAGCAGGTATAAAAACGCGTGCAGCTATATCCTAAATTCCTCACTTTTGAGAAGGACACGTGTGCTGTACTAAACAGGTGAGCGGTGCACCTCCTTCGAAACCTGCCAAGTACGATTTGAAAGTGTTTTGGGTGTGCGATGCACAAAATGCTTATCCGCTCAAAGGGATTCTCTATACAGGAAAGCAAGGTAATACTCGAGAACTGAACCAGGGCGAACGAGTTGTGAAAAAGCTTGTCGCAGCTTACAAAGGATCAGGACGAAACATCACTATGGATAGATTTTTCACAACATTAACTCTCGCTAAAAGTCTTCTTTCTTGGAAGCTTACTATTGTTGGTACATTGAAAAAAAATAAAACCTACATTCCTCAAGATGAAACCGTCAAATTCCAGAGGTTTACTGTCGACACTTTTTGGTTTTCACGATAAAGTCACTATGTGCTCATATGTACCAAAAAAAAAAAAATAATAAAGCCGTTATCCTTCTTAGCACAATGCAGTTCGATGCCATTATTTCTGAACTGCTGCATCGAAAACCAGAGATGATATTGTTTTATAACATGACCAAAGCCGGCGTTGATACTATGGATCAAATGTGTATGAGGTACTCTACTCAACGGCGAACATGCAGATGGCCATTAGCTTTTTTTTACAACATGCTGGATATTGCTGGAGTTGCTGCTTATGTTATTTACTATGAAAATAATAGCATGTTTCCAAAAAAAAGTAATCGTCGCAGACTTTTTCTTCGTCAGCTCTCAGAAGAATTGGCTATGCCAATGATTGAAGAGCGAAACCACTCCACAAAAATTGCTGTTGAAAGCTTCGTCGAAAAACCAGCCACCGTGGTCTATGATAATCCTGACAGTCAACCTCGAGATGCTACAGGCAGAAAAGTTGTTATTGGATCCTGCTACATTTGCAACGAACAACCAATTCGTAAAAGAAGGAAGACAAGAAAATGTTGCGTTTCATGTAAAAAGCCCGTTTGTGATGAGCACACAGCTAAGCTCACTAAATGTGTAAATTGCAACCAGTAACTTTCATTTTTTCTTGTAAAATTAACACTGAAAAATATAACTATTATTATTATTGTATGCACTTTATTTAATAAATAAACAATGTAAAATGAATATGCTTAATTATTATTATTTTATTAATATTTATTTCCCCCATCTAGTAATAAAGAGAAAATTTAAACATTATGTATTTTGTTTAGGGGTACCCAGGTGGCTGAGACGTGTACTTTTTTAAAATGCAAAATATTCTAAGGATTTTTTTTTAAAATATGTTTAATGGATAATTCACTAGGAAATGAGTCAAATCATGGGGATCCAAGAGGATATTGGCCAATATTTACTTGGTACAAAGTTACGTAACAAAATGTACGCTGATGGGTACCTGGGTGGCAACAGAAGGGTTAAAAGTCATTCACAATACTTTGTACATTTCTCATGCATAATCACTGCAGACGTTAATTCGGAATCCTTACTATGTATTTACATCTTCAATTCGTCATTCAATGTGTGGAATCATATTTCTTCGAATTTATGTTTATACTTTTTATATGAGAATTAAAAAAATCTTCTTGATATTTCTGGGTGCTGTTATTTTTTCTAGAAAGTCTCCATGTTTTCGTCTCTAGAGGAAAATTCGGGCACATTTGAGCAGTTGGACGAAAAATCCTAGATCATTCTGATTTACAGCAAATGCACATGCCCCAACTTTTCCAAAATTGTCTTCTTCATTCTGAAAAATTTTACATTCGAATAATTATTGTACAATTTAGTGGAAAATTATCTGCTGACTAATTTGACAGTCGTCAAACAGTCAGAAGTTTCTGTACGAACAGCGGATTAGTTGTCGGTAACCGGTCTTACCTCCTCAGCCAACTCGTAACGTTCTCATTTACGCAATCTATACAGTCAGCGACGTGTCAGTGACAGCTAACTGCGTAAACTAGGTCATGACTTGTCGCCGACTATCAGTTAGCTGATTGTCAGCAAACAGGCTGTTCGAACAAACCACATATATTTGGCAAAAATGATAAAATATTGAAAGTGTAACAGAGGCATTTCATTTGGGATCCAAGGATAAAAATTTTCTTGTAAAAACGCACTGAAGTTGACTTATTGATACTGAGTATATTCTAAAAGGTATTATTAGAAATATAGCCGTGAGAAGTGAATGGGGTAGTTTACAAAAAATTTATTTCACCGGAACATCCGTATTTCACTTCCAGAAAGCATATTCTGTTTTCACTGTTATCTGTGAACAAGAAGTAGCAAAACTTGCCCTCCAAAATTAAAACATAAGCTGTGACATAATAGATTTTAGCGTAACAGAAAACCCTGTTCTTAGGAGGCGATTCTACGTCTTTCAAATGCGAGGAAATTGACATTCTGGCTGTGGATTTCGAATATCCCGAATAAAAATCAAGTTTTACCCGGGAGTGCCGCACACTCGTTGTCCCAAGCCTCCAGAAGGTCCTCATCGATAGAAAACCGTTTTCCTTTCAGCTTCATTTTCACATGCGGACACAGTGCAAAGTCGTAGGGAGCAAGATTTGGACTGTAAGGTGGGTGCTCAATAACTTTCAGTCCACTAGTGGTCAAATACTCGATGCAGGCTTTGGCGTGGTGAGATGGAGCGTTGTCATGGTGGAGGTACCAAGTGACCATTCTTGACTTTGGCAGCAGGTTTGTCGTAGACTCTATGACTTTAGGCAATCACTGTTCCGTATACCACTTAGCTATGACTGTCTTCTGTGTGTCCAAAATGACAAACCCAAACTTTGTTTTGAGCCTTTGGTCGGCACATCGTAATAATAGAGCCAAGTCGCGTTACCTGCCACGATGCTGTTCACATACCGAGATTACCACTTATCAAACATTTTTGGCATCTTTCGGAAGAACCAAGTCGTCTTCTGCTCTTGCTGGTGCATAAAGGTGTAAGGTTTCCTCTGTCTGTTGTCACTCTCTGGTCTTCGTCAAGCATTTTCCTCACAGCAGTAATGTTTTCCACTGTTACTGACGTTCGCAGTCTTCCTTCCCTCTCAGCATCCTTCCAGAGTGCAATTGCCCCTTTGGAATTCTCTGTACCACCTGAATATAGCCGTACCATGAGGACAATCGTTCTTTAATGCAAGCGTCATTTCTTCTAAACACTGATCTATGCTTAAACCACGCGTAAAGTTATATCGTAAAACTGCCCTTATCGCACTACGTGACCACGATTTAATAGTCCGCACACTGTTAATACGAATGAACAGCTAAATCAACAGACGTGCTGCTGGCGGCTACTATGCACTCATGGACATGTCTCAACATGCAGCCTCCTGCGTCCGTTTGTTAAATCATATTGCAAAACTTTAAGAGAGTTGACAACTGCGAATATTTTCTTACAGGTGGTTCGCGCGGTGGTCACTGCGAGGACAACAACGCGGGCGGCGCGAATGCCACCGCTGGCGGCGGCCGTGGCAATGCAGCTGGGGGTGGCCGGTACCACGCCATTACCGGAGGGGGCGGCGAACAGCAGGGGCAACCAAGAAGCAGGAGGCCGCCCCCACCGCAACAACAACACGACGGCCGATTGGTGGACGGTGGAGGCGGCACTGGAGGGGGAGGCGGCCAACAGCAGCTAGGACAGGTGCAAGGAGGCGGCGCAACCGGTGTTGCCGGGAATGATGACTGCATCAACACTAGTGAGTTTCTTGTATAAATATATCTGATGATCTGATGAATATATTTTTTCAATTTTTGTAGATTCTCCTAGAATGTACGACAGTCACGAAAGGCGAGTTTCAATGCGCCTGAGGGCTGGCCAAGGTGCTCCCAATGCCTCAACCTCCGACCTCAGTACCTCTAAGCAAGCCAAGTGAGTTACATTTACAACAACTAGTATACCATAAATACATATTACCCTTCATCAAAACCGTCACATCATTTTTGCATAATCCACCCTAGTTTGTTTGGAGAGGCATTTTCTTCATATACAAATATCTTGCTGAAATAAGACATCAGTATGTCATGTTCCTCTAACTCTGTTTATGACATATGCTTGTGATCTTAGTACTGACTTCAGTCATTACTAGTGCAATTCTGGCTTAGTTTGACGTTTGAAACATTTTAAAGCCAAACAAGCTAGATGTTATTGACAGATCGACAAAAATTTTAGACGAAGATAATTTGCATCAAATATTTTTCCGCAAAATGATTGATAGCATGTGTTTTATTCTATCCAAATATTTTATTTCATTGCAACGTTACGCCTGAAATCAGTTGCTTTGAACATTTCCAGTGACCACGTAATACCTGTATTTAACAATAATTCCATTACTCATTTGTTGATTATTGTCGATCTGTATCGTCTTTCTTTCTGCTGGTCATGCTTCCTAAGTCAATGCAGTTCACATTTGCTTACATACTGAATTTATTCTTTGTCACTAACCCATATGCCAAAATTAAATGTAACATTTGTGTAAATTAACTAAAACATGGATATTTTTTAGTTTTCATGCTGCCAAAAAGGTAAACAGTTGTGCGAAATCATCAAGGTAAAAACTATTGGTGACACCATATCCGTTCAAACGCTACCGTGAACTGTGCCATAATAATATTTGTGAAATAGTAATGTGAAGTAAATATTTGTATAAATTCTACAGTTATTGGTTTGATCTGGATAGCCAAAAAAACGAATGATAGTCATGTGTTTGGCTGGAGAGTACTATTGTTCCACTGTATTTGTGTATAATGCCGTTATACTTCAGTAATTGGTGATAGGTGACTTAATTTGTATGTGCTGGACAAAATTTATGAGCGCTTAGAGGGTATAAATATCAAATTAAAATGTTGAAGATATTAGTATTTAGTATGTATCTAGATTTGGAATTATTCTTTAAAATCTTCACTCCCACTGATGGTTGTAATTTTATGAACGATTCTACATTTTTTTATCTGTAGTATATTTCGCGTAGTTACCATTTTTGTTTTTTACCTTGATTCCCAATCAAAATAAATTTCTCGATTGCATTCACTCCACGTTTCCTTTTTTTTATTCTAAAGTGGCGCAGTCATACATTTTATAAACTTCAACTAAGGAAACATTACTGTCAAGTCAAGGGAACGATTTAGCTATATCATAAACTCACGATGCCTGAAGCTGCGCTTACACTAAAAGGATTTGTATTTAGATTACTTTTGTCACTCCAGGCAGCCATGCTTCTGTTAATCCCTAAGTCATAATGTACTTCTTCGACTGTTTTGTCATAAAGGAGTGAAAATACCCTTTGCTCAATGCCATCCGCTCAGGAGACCAGTTTCTGAAAACGAGCAAGTAAGATAACTAATAGAAAGTGGGAGTTGTTATTTGTCGTTTTCTTGATAGAAACGTCGATCGTTGGGCGATTCTTTTGATCTATAGCAGGAAAAAAAGCGAAAGTTTCGCCGTCGTCCATACGCCTCATTTCTGAGTACGAAGATAATTCTGTGGGGAAACATTTCATGCTATGAAAAACCTAGGAATATACTACAGTGGACCAGAGGTAATCCGGCAAACGTTTTGCAGGGCGATGTTGGATTATCGGATTTGTCGGATTATAGAGTACTGCCTAAGACCCTCTCTGTAGTCCGGTATCTTTTGAATAAGAGTACCTTGTAATCTGACAAATTACAAATCAAAGAATCCATTTGAACTAGGAATCATACTACATAATTATGTATATGTATAATATGTATTATGTAGTAAATTAAAGATCACAATAGAGAGCTAATATCTTATTATAAAAATAACATCATAACTAATCTTGTTTACATTAGAAAATAAGAATGTTCAAACTAATGTACATATGTACTAAAAATTTGTGTTTCACAGGATATTACGAATAATTCAAAGTATATTTTTGTATTTTACCAATCAATTTAAAAAGCAATAAAATATTTATTATTTTTTTTAACTTGATCAAGCGCGAGACAAGCTTTGTCCCTAGTCTTCTGAAAAGTTAAACTTCGTTTTACGAACGTATACCATGAATATTTTCTAGCCATCCCTTGATAGCCACAATTTTATTTTTTGTTTTCCATTATTTCCTTGTAAAAAAAATTTGTGGCCAACACGGGTCCCGAAATGGGGGCATCCCTGTTTCCTTCTTGAAGAAACGACATGTACAAAGCTTCTTCCATCTCTGGATGTTCAGCTTTCTTGAGTGTCTGTCTCGAGGTTCTTTTTAATGTCATACATTGTAGGTTAACCTACACCGTATTCACTTGCTAAACTGCTGACGGATTCATTATGATTTAAGTGATCCAAAATAAGACTTTTTTCTTTGTCAGTGTTTTGTGCTTTCGCTTTTGGGCTTGTAAAGACATTACTAGGTATGTATGTGACACACAACGAATAAACAATAAACAACAATGAACGCTCGCTAGGCCACTGTTACACGTATACAGTCAAATTCAAACTGAAACAATACACGTCGAGCACAATAGTAGTGGCGCGTACAAATTACATCGTGTCCAGTAATGCATTATATTAGTGGAAATTTGTAGAAAATTTTATGTACAATTAACATTGATAGGGGATAACAAGGAGCGTCTGATTAGACAGGGTCTGGATTATCGCGAGTCCACTGTATTTGGGCGAAATTAGGTGCATTCTTAATATACCTGTACACACCAAAGCTGTCCAGAAAAGTAATAGAACCACAAATAGCACAACGCTCAATTACTACTGGTTATTGTACTCTCTTGTCAACAATTGGCCTCCAGAGCAGAGGTGACTCCCCACCCCGCTTTGTTCCATTTTCACTGTTTATTAGAATGGACGTTGATGGTAATGCTGCTGCCACTTTCGAATGAATCGCAAGCATCTCCCTCACCATCCTAATATTGTTATTTTTGTTTTATGTTATCATTATACTTATTTCGCCTTTTTTATCTTTTGTTCCCGTTTTCACTTCGCCAACATCACCGCCGGTAACACCTCCACCGCTGCCGCTGCTGCTGCCGCCGCTGCTGCCACATCTGTCACCAATTACCATCATCATCACCATTACCCTTCAAATTAACAAACACACACCACCACCGATCGATAATCGAAACTTCACGATGTTATCCGATCGTGCCATACTGACTGTCTCATCGGCGTATGCGGTGAATTGTTTTGAACGCTACCTTACCATCTTTAACCTCGTCCTTGATCCTTTGAAATACTATATTTTTTTCGACCTCTTCGATCCACGGCACCATCTACATCCGTTTACTTCGTCAAACTGCCAAATAACTACTTCATACAACTATCTCTACCTCTAAACCTTTACCTTTTTATTCCAAACCATGTTGTATCTTTCATTTAACTACCCGGTTATCTCTATTCATCTAAATTTTTTTTACCCTGATAACTTGGTAGTTTTAGATTTCGCCGATAAACTATATTATTATGATCGAGCTCAACTTATTCTGGACGCTTTATTTCTGTGCTGATCAGTATATTTCAGCATTTTCGTTTTGTGCTCCATGCACAAGGGCTATTGTTTTGTTCTGCGAGTAGTTTCAATCCGAAAGCAGATGCAGGTTTTTTTTTGTAGATATTGTTAGTGATATTAGAAATGTTGTTTACATTTTTTGCACATAACTTTAACGAGACGGGTATATCCGTTACCACCGAGAGTACAAGGTCTGACAACAGACGCGTGACGTCACCACGAGTAGGCCGGTCGGCCGGCCGACAGCACGGCGTGCCGTACATCAGCGCTAGTGAATAATATATTATTATTGCAGCATATTTAATATACTCTACCTGATGTAAATAACGGATAATTCAGAAAAGTATTTTTGGTATATGAAGGCAACTTGTTGGAAAATGTTAAAGTAGTTATTAACTATTTTCACCCTGATTTTCACCGATATTTCATCCACCATTACGTGCACATTAGAGTAATAAGTTGATGTTATAAAAGCTTGCTAAAAATGATAAATTCTTCAATGAATAACCGCATGTTAGTCACAACCGGTCAACAAAATTTCACAGGAATATGTGGACAATTTACTATTATTATAGGCATAATATAATGGTACTTGAAAATTATATAAAAAATGTAGTGCTTGTTGAACAGTTGTGTTCTTTGCATAGCCTAGAAAGTTAACATATATCTCACATCGGGAACTGGATCGACCATCAATGTATTATTGACTTCAGAGTATTTTGGTGTGGTAAAATATGGTTCCTAATAAATCTATATGAATGTGGACTGATTGTATACAACATAGAGCAAAACACTATTGTTTCTGATGAGTACCTGTGTCTGTTCTTCGGACTAATAAGAAGCTTTAGTTGCTCACAAATAAATTGAATGACAGTGAGGGTTTCTTCATCGGTGAATAGTTCTGTGCTATTTAAAATATTGTGGCTCTGAACTGGTCTTTACCTTAATATTCCCTCAAAGCATCTACATTCTCAGAAAGAACATTCAGAACATCATCAAGTGGTGTATACTAGATAATAAAAATGGATTTTTAATATTACCTGAGTTGAGTAACAATTCTTGGGAGTACATATACGTTTTTACATTGAGATCTTTATCAATAAAACTACAGAGTGAGTTATGATGGGTGCAGGTTTATATTCTAACTTAAACAAAGTAACTATACTGAACAATTTTATGCCACCCATATGGACATTGCCATGAACTGAAAACTGTGAGAAAGTCTGAATAATTTTGAAAACTTGTTGATTTTTGATAGGAAGAATAATCATCAATGCTACTTTGCAGTGCTTTAAGTAGTTATTCTTGTTCCTTGTCCCTCAATTTCTCAACTCCGCTTCTTCTGTTTGATATGTCCTTTGAAAGGTATCTTGGACAATTTGCAAAGATACTTGGAATTACATCTGCCTTCAATTTTGGATACTTAAGGGGTACAGTAATGGTCCTACCTGTCTTTTCATCATGGAAGATGGATTCCCAAATGATGCTGTCCTCAGCAAAGTGCAAATTGCATACTCTGGTGTTTTTGTGACCACTAAATCACTACGAGGGATTGCATTGAGCCATCTTTTACGACAGTTTTCATTCCATGGAACCGAAAATACGTGTACCTTTGGACCCTTCCCGTAATTGCCGGTAGAATTAGGAACGCAGCCCTTGTAAGACATTTTGAAAACTTAGCTAAACAATCGCGAGACACAAATATAAGTTTAAAACATCAGTAATTTACAGTTTACGTAGCATAGAAGGATACATAATAGAGGCTCAGAATTTGAGGTTAGTTTGCTGTTGGACTTTAGCGGTGTTACCAAGGTTGCCACATATTCCAATTTTGAATGGAATATTGGACTTCACAAGTGACAGATTGAACGTAATATCGAAAATGTATTCTTGACATACTGAGGCAGATCAGAAAGAATAATCACATCATCACTGAAGCTGCGTACATCTTGCAAATTCGCCCACAGAGAGGTACAACTAATTAGTAGAGATTTCGATACTGCTATATCAAATCTAGATATGACAACACCGCAGAGAAATGGTGGCGCTGCTCTCTTGCCAGCCAACATCGTGAAACTCCATAAAAACATCCATAGGCCTACTCTGCGTGACGTCACAGGCTTTTCACAGCCCAGTTGTTTGGCCTTGGACTTTCGGTGGTATCGGTATATCTCTTAATGGTTGGAAAACTACTATAAGAATTGGTCATTCCTGGGGATTCGTGAAATTAAAGCAATTTTAAACTGATATTTTGAATAATTAGCGAAGCTCGATTGCAATTTTTTGCTGTCTAACCGACCTTCCATAGTTACTTCAGTTATGTTTGTACGCTACAGTTTCGTATTAGAATTGTTTGGCAGGGTGTTTTGAGGCTGCTTTCTCGTTGATCCTCATTGTGTGTTAATATTTATCTACCGCAAATCTCGCTGGCGTCACCTCGATCTCTACGCGATCATGCTTCAAAAATGCAACGAAATTCATATTTTAAAGACAAAGAGTTTTGTTTCTGGGTCTATCCAGAATAATCATCTTATCATCATCATCAACAGCACCTTCTTCAATCCTTATTTCCCTATATTGACTATATTTATTCCACCCGATCCCACGTAAGCGATCGAATCCCTCACACCGCATCCGCATTTACCACCAATCACGCCGCGTCCCCGCGTGCGTTGGTTCCGCCCAACCTATGTGTGATTTTTCTGTTGTTCTGGAAGCGCCTCCGTAGCGGCGATGGCACCTCCCGCACCTAGGAGGGGTAGCGCATCCAAGGACACGCCCCCTCCCATTCCATCGCAAGGGCAGCCGAACACTGCCATTGGTCGGATGAAAAAATAGGAGCCGACGAAAGTGAAAGGCGGGAGGGGCTTTATTGATGGTGAATGTGTGACCACATTTTATGACGGCTGTTGTATGGTGTTTGTGAGAGTATTGAAAAGGTGGCTCTGTAGTGATTTTCAATGTATGAAAGCTGCATTTGATCTTTAAATTCTGAGGAATTGTTACATATTGACGAAAGAAAAAACTTCCTTTGTTTACCGGCACTAAGTCGACGTCAAACCGGAACCGGGGAAAAGTCATAATAGTTATCAGAATAATATAAAAAAACGTGTACTTTTTTAATTATAGGCTATATCCTGTGATTTTTTAATTCCCGTTACTGGAAAAATTCATTTTTTTGCCAATCGTGTAAGTTGTGTAGATTCATGTAACCATCTTTTTCAAATGTCTACTCATCAGTCCATAAAATTTTTTCAGAAAATCGCGGATCTTATCGATATGTAACATTATTTGAAAAACTCAACTCTTGGCAGACAAACCCAGTGTGGTAGATACTGTACTAGCTGTACGTGATACGGGTGGATCTCGTTCGTTTGCAATATTCGGTGCACATTCACTAAAGCTCTGTGGTCCGGATGACGAACAGCATTTGAGGACTTCTCACGAGAAAGCCTAGCTGCAGCACTAGCATTGCATTACATTTCCTATAATTGTTGACGTATTGCTGTACGGTGTTCACAAACGTATCTGTCACTGCGTAGAATGACACTGTCCGTCCCTCTGTCTAAGACAAAGATGAAATTTGTAGTGATGGCAGAAGTACACGACTTTTTTTAAATTTTCTAATAACTACATACTTTGACTTGGCCTATCCCCCGTTTCCTGCTTGACGTCGACTTCTGGGTACACCCTGTATAGTTCATTTGAAATGGACTTTGTTGGATATTTGAACGTACAAATGCTGTAAGAATATCTGGTTCATTAAATTGCACACAAAGGAAAAATTATATTCGCCAAACAAGTCTGGAGTGACCATATGTCTATACGTTTTCTCCAAGTGTACAGGAAAAGCGAGAAGAATATGGACTGTATGATACGACGTTGTGAAATTTGAGTTGAAAAAATTGTTCGGCAATTGGCATCTTGACAAAGCGTTTACATCTGACATAGTCAGACTCATAGTCTGGCGTATCTAGAAAAAAGTTGGGGACTTACGGGCAGATCCAGCGTTTGAGTGAGGGGGGTCACTTAGTCACACTGTATCATATAAGGAAAAACGTGTTAGGCCTTTGGGGTTATGGGGGGTGGGGGGGCTTGAGCTCCAAAGCCCCCATCCCTTTCTGAAGAGTATTCAGTAGTGTTACTGGCGTCGATTGCCAAAAATGCTAAGATAGACACGGTGAGGAAAGCATTGGGGTAGATCTGACAACCGCTGTTGTATCCTGCCAAAAAAAAATAACAAACTGATTACTAGATATTCAGCTGTTATCTGCAGTCACGTTTGACGTAATGAACAATCTTGGAAAATAGTAATATTGTACTGTACACTCTGATCTTTAAATTTCGTATTTTCCCATTTAACAACAAATGGAGTTAGCAGTAAACAAAGATAAGTACTCCAAACTATTTCACTTGCACAAACAATTTAGTTCAATTTCAAAGAATTTTAAGCTATCATCATACACAATATCTTACAGTTCAAACACCTATATTGCTGTGGCTAGACTTTGGTTATTTTTATTAGGTTGCAAAGTCAAGAAAAATGTAGAGATGAAAAAAGTTCAATATACCATAGAAGAAACCGTACTACTCAAGCTTTTGAATCTGAACCCAATGATGGTAATAGTTGTTTTTAACCACTGTTTCCTATTCATAGTTGAGATGAATGTATATACTAGGAAATATGCAATTAATTGTTTTTTATTCATCCCTACATCTTCCTTTATCAATTTTGTTGCTCGATGAGTGATATGGTTATATACAGTTTGTAAAAATGTGATTTTGTTAAGTTTTCCTTCTTTTAGCCTGTTGTATAACTAACTTTTAAGCAGCTCGACGATAAGTTTGTATCGTCTACAACTTGTACATTAAGTCATGAGTGAATATTTCTTCCAGGACGGAATTTATACAAAATGTTCCGTTTTGCATGTGAAGCTTTTTAATTATCATTTATATTATGAACGTCAAATTATCCCATTTCAATATGTGCGTGATAAAGTCTAAATGTTTGTGCTGAAAATCAGTAGTCGGTGAGGTCTACTGTAAAAGGGTATATGCTAAACGGATCATTAAGTTTATTCAAAAATGTGCAATTGAATGAATGTTAAAAATAATGTTTTTCCTTCATTATGATGAACAGAAAAAATGTGCAACGACAGGACTATTAGTAAAATAATTGTTAGAAGATGGAATATAAAATAAGACAAAAAACAAGACTATTGATATACAACTACATGTAGATATAATTATGACGATTTTTTTGTTTATTGGACGAACCTATTTGTAAATATCTAGACTGACTTTGTGTAATTTTTTTGTATAGAATATATAAGGTAACCTCGTCTCACCCCAATTTGTGGACAACTTTTCTATATAAAAATATATGTGAATACGATAGGTAGTGTTAACCGATTATTTCTCCACATTTTTGTATCCAAGTTCTACAAATTCAAATGGAATCTGCTTCGAAAACTCCAAATGTTTTCAGTTATTGGTGACAAAACGTCTTCGGTAAAATTATAGTTTTCATGATACTGATTTTTTCTCGAAATTTGTTGCTCGTCTATTCAGCTATTCTTAAAATAACTTGTTTAAGCTCGATTGTTTAAAAATGTTCAATATTAATGCTTCATCACAATGTCTGTTTTTCTTTCTCAAAAACGGTTCTAAGATTTTAACAAAAATCTACTCACACGGTAATTTGACATCGAGTAAAACAATCTACAGTGCCAATTTGAAAAATTATTGAATTAGGAGTTTTCGCGTGGATTCTTTCTATTAAAAAATAAACTGAATGTTAGTGAAATGATTTCATTATAAATATCCAGGAGTAAAGTTGAATATTGGCGTCTTAATTTTATGGGTATTTTTTATAAATAAATATTGTCCATTACTGGATCAAAAAGACTAAAGTTTATTTTGTTTAGAACCATCATCTAGAAGAGTACTAACAGTTGTCGTTGAAGCTATATGAATAATGTATTATTTTATTATACAACCTAGTAGCACAACACATGAAAGTGGCACAAAACCAAAGACGGTCGCTGGCGTTACATTTTCCTTTGCGTCGTATTTTCCAGATTAGACTGTATCGTTGGTGATCGATAAAATAAAAATTGTCTACCACTTTTCGAGGTATTATAAAGAAACAGGCAAAGAAGTGGGGTGGCGATTTGAAATATGCCGTGGTCTTATTTTGATTATAGTTTATTATTATTCACTGAAAGGCATGGCATTGTTGTCTCGCCATTGTATATTTGCCACGAGCCAGTAGAGTCACATGATTTGATTTGTTTGATGTTTGAAGACGTTGTGGATATTTGAGATGTTGTTTCTTCCATTGTCTATAAAGTTTTTTGTTTCACGACGTTTCGACTGATGTGATCTTCAATTGTCATCAGGTCAGCTGGCGACCATGCTTCTTTCTCGACTATTTATACGGCTTGATGACATGGCTGGTGGTTGGTTTTCCTCGTTCCGATTGGTTAAAACAAAAATACCCTGTATAGTAATCAATAAAAATGCTTACAGTGATCCATGTGTTGAAATTAAACCGGTATGACAACCAATCGTCAAGACACAACTATAACTCGACAAACCGGAACGAGGATCACGTCACAAGCAACCACCAGCCACGTCATTAAACGGTATAAATAGTAAAAAAATAGCATGTTCGCCAGTTCATCTGATGACGATTGAAGATCACAATAATCGAAACGTCGTAAAACAAAAAACTGTATATCCCATGATTTGATTTGCATTTCCTGGCTGCTTTAATCCTGCGAATCCATCGCGATTGTAGCGTTCATTTCAGCCATTCTTTCGTTTTATGAAAGCTCATTGTTCAGTCAAGACATGAATGAATTACAAACATTCAGTGGGGACTGATGACTAGCCAATTAGACACGCAAAAATTAGTGCTGAAGTGACAAATTGTCCCACTAACTGTCAAATATCCCTGGTAAAAATATGCAGGTATTACTTTTCAGTTTTATTTTCTAACCACTTTTCTGACAAAAAAACGCTCGCGTATGGGCTCCAGATGGAAAATAAAAAGGTAAATCTTTCCACTCAAACTTCGTTATGGAAATCAGTCTTTTACCCCGAATATTTGAAAGTTAGTGGTAAAATTGGTCACTTAACAACTAGTTTGTGCGAGTCTGGTTAGCAAGTCAACAACCATCACGGAATGTTTGTCTTTAATTTCTCTCGTGACGGAACAACAAGCGTTTATTTATCAGACTATAGCGCTACTCGGACCATGACTAAAATCGGCATAGTGATCATCATGTTAGTGATGGATCGAGAAGCGCTATGTGCTCTGAAGAACGGGTTACCAATCTTACATTGACCATTGTTATATATTGTCGCATTTCCGTTATGTAGACAGATGTGTAAGGGGGTGTCATACTATAAACTGACCCTTTTAACTTTTTTCTGTGACCTTCCAGAAAAAGTTTTATGTAAGTTATAGAGTGTAACTTGAAGTTTTTCATGTGATATATTTTTGTCACGCCACTTGAGGTAGGGAAGGCTATCATATAAGAAAAATCGGAAAACTGACCTCCAACTGCATCACTTGTTTCAATTTCAGCTCATTTGTTGTTGTGCGTAAATGTTTTAAACTAATATGACGCTACATTGCAGCTTCAACTGACAATTGTTATGTTAGCTGATACAGATATTTCTTTAATTGTTGCGTATTTGTGTATGTAATGTTAGTCTATTTAGGCACATTTTTTATTGCAAAACGATCAACTACGCTGCAAAGCAGGAATGTTATTTTTTATAAGAAATAATCTATAACTGCTTGCTTTGGTAACATCTACAAGCATTGTCACTAGAAAATATTCAAGACGAAATCTACGTGGGAATTGAGACAAAATAGTTTTTTGTTCGGAATTTCATGAAGCACCAATTCGGCACTAAGATGGCAAATATGGCATGAATGATTTTTCAATTTCGTTATCTAGAGTACTAATTGTACAAACAAGCGTGTGAATAGATGAACCGGAATAGCATTGAATTCCTTGATAAAAAGTGGACATCCTGTAAATTATTGGATAAAAACTTGGCGTTTAATGCAAATTAGGCGCAGGTTTCGTCTAGAAATAGACTTGAATTTTGTTTGCTGCATTTCTATTATCCTGACTTGTGTTCCTATGCTCTGATATACCTGCATGCATGATATTCATATTTATTTTTTTGAAATATGATATCGCGTCTGATATGTCAAAAGATAATGCGCAGATTTCTATATCGTTTACATTATGAATATATGATTGTCATTTTTAGATCATCTCCTTAAATGCTACATATTTAACTGAAATTCCAAATAAATGTACATATATATTTGATAAAAATAAAATTATAAAAACACTAATGTTTTATTTTCTTTCTGCACAGAAGTTGTCCCATTTTATTAGCACCACCTAAATATTCCCATAAGTATGCATAATGGAAAAAAGTTTTGGCCTTTCAATGGGGCAAAATAATGGTGACCTTTACCGTGACTTTGCCCTCGATCTTCAAGGTCAAGTGAATAAAAAACACGCCTTTATAGTTAACCTAATTGAAAAGTAGAAAATAGTTTTTAATTACAGTAGTAGGTGGTCGAACAATCGATCATAATTAATGACCTCAAAATAAAATTATAATAAAATTCAAGTTATTGACAGGATAATTCAATTCAGAGTAAAAAGCGTGGGGTGCTTGATATATTAAATGTTACAATCATTTTATTGGCAACTACCTATGAGAGGAGAGTTATGAAAATGTAGTAAAGATAACAAGGTGAAACTGCACTACCTTGAAAAAGTATCTGCCTCCATTGTGCTGTGCCGAGTGAATGTCATGGTCAAGATCACCTTTGGGTGACCCTTAAACCTCAACTGTGTTGTCGGACATATTTGCTAGAGCAATTTGCTTCCGAGCGACGTCTTGATTTAGCCTTGGAATGGAATTATGGTCGAGGTCATACGTACGTAAAATGACCTGTTTTCAATTTCCGTGTAAAAATAGGGTCTAAAATATTCATTTCACCTTGAAATGACATGACAAATATGGTCATCAGTTTGCAGACTCGGAACCTTACAAGCTTCATCTAGGATGCGTAGTTGTTAATATTTGTTTACAGTCATCTTTCAGTTATTGTAGCTGATAGTGTTGCAAGTGGACCCGACTACTCTTAACAACTGTACCTCTCTGCGAGTGAAATTATATTTGTCTCATTAAAGACCACTGGTAATTATACAAGTGCCGGCTGTGTGAAAATACGAGTATGAACCTATATTCTTTCTCAAAATACCTTGATGGAGTTATACAGTTCTCTTCACAGTTTTTTGAGGTCACATATACCACTAACGTCGTAATGTATACGAGAGAGAAGCCTCTAGCACGTGTGTTAGAAAGATATAGAAGCACCTCGTTGCCTAGCAACCCGAGTGACGAGGCCATGGACTCAGCTGCGACTTGCCGCGTTGCCATCGGAGCACTCTTTCTAACATATTTATTGCACGCTTCTCGTACACATTATGTCAGCCAAATTTGAACCTTGCTGTATACAATCTGCATGTCATAGGCGTGCGATTTGAGTTTATTGTTTGTTGACTTCGTGATATAAAACATAGCAACGCTTGAAAAGACAATATATATAGATAATATCGACAGATATTGCTTTTGCTCAAATATTATCATAAATTGAATGAAAGCAACGGCTGTTTATTATCCAATTCACGTGTGAAAGAGCAGCTGCACGTTGGAGTTCGATTTGCGCAGTGTGCAATTTCCCCTACGGAAGTTAAGCTCCGCACGTGGTACAGTTAGCCGATCTATTTACTTATTTCGTATGATGCTAATGATGTAGCCGCCAAAAGCATGACGAGGTGTAAATCGGGGCTATCTGGCGCCTCAACACACTGCTTCATTAACTGAAGATCGAATATCGATGTTCCATCCTTCCATCTTTAAACTGCCCTTGCTAAAATTGACAGATGGATGACGTTTGTTATTTGTTGGTAGTAACCTCAATTCCATGTTGTATTTTTTCGAGTATAATCCAAAGAAAATAGTCTTGATATATCAACAAAAGACGATGTTCTGAAGTTGCAAAATGTGATATAGAACAAATGTAGTTTTAGAAAACAAGTACAACTAAAAATTCTATATACTAATATACCAATACTACCTGTCTGTAGAAATCGCCACAATGCTACGAAGACCACCCACAGGCATTGAGCTGAAATTGGATGATATTACTGAATATGAAGAGATGCGTGAACAGTTGAATAAAGAAAAACAGGTGTAGTATTTTTTTGCATCAATTCATCAAGAGAGACTATTTTAAGTACAGTGCCCGATCTAAGGGTGAAGTGATTAATAATAAATACTTAATTATTGGAAATTTAAGACGTAATTCAGTAAATTAAAAACCATGTAAGGCTAGTAATAAGTATACTTGCAAAGAAGTGAGTATTTGAATACTGATATGGAAACACTTTGTTCATCAACAGTAAATATTTATTGGTTCCCGCGCCATCTCGCAGCAATATTTAAGGGGATTTTTGAGATCTTGGATGTCTGTCATTGCCTGAGCTGCATTTTCTACAGCAAAATAGTGTGTAAAAATTATTTATACATATATATTTGTTGTTATATGAGTACCTTATATGTATTAGTTGTAAATAAAAGAAATTTCCAACTGCTGATCAGAGCTGTTAGCAAGCTGCTTAGCTACAATTGCCTTCAGCATGTGCACCCAGTAGAAGTTTTGACAGGGAGAGCCAATCATTGGCAAGAATCCCCATAAGAGGGCTGGATTCCCAATGTTGTACATAAAACCATGCTAAAATATGCAGATTTCAAGGAGTTTTGGTTTTGTTCAATGCAAAGAGTAGCTCAAGGAGTAAAAGTCAGAACAGAAACAAAAAGAAGTATGATAATTTGCATTAAAGTACTTTTAATCCTTATTTTTGTCTCTAGATATTTATCTGATAAACCTGAGTAATGTGGTGTCCATGCAGCAAAAGTTGATGGATAGAGTAACATCAGCATTATTCTACTGGTAGTTTATAGCTACCAATATGGAAAAGCCAGAGAATTACAGTGGACCTCCGGTAATCAGACAAACATTATGCTGGACAGTGTCGGATTATAGAGCACTGCCCTATAGTCTGGAATTTTTTTACAAAAGAGTACCTTGTAATCCGACAAATTACATATCTAATGGTAAAATTATATATGTTATGTATACTTTGAAGTACAAATCATACATAGTTTATGTATGTCGAATTTAGTAAATTAAATAACAATAGACAGCTTATGTTTTATTATAAAATTAAGCATAAATGCATATACATATGTACCAAAATAATCAAGAATTATTAATCAAAATCATTAATGAATTTATCAAATTATGAAGCTTGGAAATATTCATCAATTTTTTTTTAAGATTGTTATAACGTGAGATCAAAGCTTTGTCCCTCAGTCTTCTCAAAAGTAAAAGTTTATTGTAGGATGTATCATTCTCTTTAGCCCATTGTAAACCTAGCTCAAAGGCGTTAATTGCGTCTTGTGCTGTGACTTGTGGAGCAGTTGCAATCACGTCGTCGTTATTTTCCTGATTGTATAATTAGAAACCTCTTTTATAATCTCTTCATCAGACATTTCATGAAAAACATTTTCCTATTTATCCATTCCACGGCACCAGATTTCCAAATCTTCCTGTCTTATCTGTGTTTCAGTAGCGACTTGTTCTATAACTTCCGAAGTTACACTGATTTGTGGAATGTTGCTAGGAGTGGTGACTATGTCTGGACATAACTTTTTCCAAGACGATTTAATAGTTGATGAGGGTAACGCATTCCACGACTGACAAAGAGCAAAAACCAAGTCTTTCATATTAAATTCTTTTAAAGTTTTTTCTATGGGTTGGTCTTTTGATACGGATCTTAGAAGAAGTAGGTTTTTCTTATAGTCTTGCTTGACAAACTGAATGATATTCTGGTCCATTAGTTGAATCAGTGCAGAGCAATTTGGTGGAAGAAACATTGCAGTGATGCATTTATCCTCAGTTGTTTGTTCTTCTTCAGACGGATGACCGGGAGCGTTATCAAGGAGCAACAACGCTTTTTGAGGAAAATTATGATCATTTAACGATTTTCTAACTTCAGGTACGAAGCATTCATCAAACCACTTTTTGAAGAGGTCTTTTGTCATCCATGCACTTTTTTGTCTATAATAGTGTACAGGTAAATCAATGTTTTTGAATGCCGGGTGTGTCCGCAGCGTTAGCACATGGTAGTATGGTTACACGCTCTTTACTTACTTTTCGTCCAGGTACGGATTTTTCGTTACAAGAAACGAAAGTTTTGTTAGGCATCACACGCCAAAAAAGCCCTGATTCGTCTGCATTGTACACCTGTGACGGGTCAAGATTTAAATCGTTCACCTTTTGCAAAAATCTTAATTTAAAGGGGTCCATGCAGGTGGCACCGTTAGAATGTTTCTCTCCTGTAATAGTCATTAAACGGATGCCATGACGACTTTTAAAACGTTCTAGTCATCCTTTGCTGGCCACAAAATCATCTTTTTTTGTTATTTCCTTATAAAAAAACTTACTTTTCATGGCCAACATGGGTCCTGAAATTGGTGCATGCCTATTTCTTACCTGAAGAAACCACATGTACAAAGCTTCTTCCACTTCTGGATGTTCAGCTTTCTTGAGTGTCTGTCTCTTGCCTGGCCCGCAGTCAGTAGTTGACACGAACTTCTTGATCTTCTCGTGGTTTCTTTTAATGTCATAAATTGTAGATCGGCCTACGCCGTATTCACTTGCTAAACTACTGAAAGTTTCATTGCGATTTAAGCGGTCTAAAATATCACATTTATCTTTAATTGTCAGTGTTTTGTGCTTTCGGTTCTGAGTTTGTGATAACATTACTAGGTACTATACTTAATACACAATGAATAAATAGTAAACAATGAACGCACGCTAGGCCGTACCGCTATCCCAAGTAGCCAAATTCAAACTAAGTAAAACAATGCTTACGCGTCGAGCACGATAGCGGTGGCGCGTACAAGTTGTAACCTGTTCAAACCTGTGTGATCTACATTAGCGAAGACTGTCAAATACGTATGTACGTAATATTCAAAGACATGTCGGATTACAGGGGGCGCCGATTATCGGGGGTCCACTGTATTTTTTTTTCATGTTATAAGTGGCTTACAAGCAGTACAAACATTCATAAAAAGCCATAATTGTTAAATCAAAACTTTATTTACAAGTTATATGTCAGGTATAGAACTATCTTGCAAAAATGGCTAGCGATTGCTGGCAGAGCTTATTAAGTATTCATTTGTGATTCACACCTATTTAAGTATTTACTAATTCAATGGTATTGCAATACCTTATGAAGGTATTACTGATACAGAAATATGGTTTACTGATTGAAGTAATTGGTATTTCTATTACTTCCTTTTTGTAAGTCACTGCTGACTGAAATATTTGCAGTAAACTGATAAGTATTTATTATTCACTTCACCCTAAGATATCCAGGACCCAAAGCAAAAATTATGTAGGGGGTGGGTTAGCAGGAGTATTTCAACTCAAACACAATTTTTTTATGCTGTAAGGCCTTTGTGATGTGGAGGCCACTTGGCACCCATCATGTGCATCATCTTGGATCTTGCTCAGCTTAAGTAGTTCATAGAGAACTTTTGCTGCATCTTTTACCTTTTCAATAGAACATCCAAAATGGATTGCTGTATTTATAATAGGTGTGTTCTTTTAAGACCATCTTCCCATTGTCCTTGTAGACTATACCTTCCAGTGCTGTGTTAACTTCAATCAGTCTGTAAGATGTGATATTAGTGACAATAATTTTTGCTAGAACCAAAACTAATAGAACTGTTTTTGAAAAAAAAAACACGGTACTTACCAGAGAAGTTGAATTTTTTGGTGTTTACTGTTTACACCATTTTGAAGTGAATATTGTTGAGACCATATTACTGCATTTATTATTCTATATGATTTTACTAAAAAAAAAAAGTTATCACAGTATGGTTTATCTGAAGTCACTTGAAATAGCATAAAAACCTTTGGTCGGCGCGTCCTTTGTAATTTCATGACGTATCATAGGCGTGCGGTTATTAATAATGTTTTTATATCACAATAAATGGATTTTACTATCTTCTTATTTTTTTGATTTGGGATAAAAAATACTTATATTGGGAGTTTAATTTATGTTGACTGAAAGTTAAGAAATGGAAAAATTACAGAATTCCAACGTTTGACATAGGCAAATATTTACATAGCAGGTAGGTATATAAAAAGGTATATAAAGACTTACATTATAGGTATTTATATATCATCCTCGCCTTCGGAGCTGTCGCTAGAGTCATCTTGTAGAGGAATTACAACGGGATTTACAGGAGGCAAAACACAATATTCATTTTCTTTTTCAATAATATGCCTAGAACACTGCTTCCATAGGTCTGTGGCAGCAATATGAGATACTGCATCTCTTATTGTGGCCAATAGCGATTCACTTAATTGAGGGGTCTGATTATGTTTTCTTACTTTTTTTTTAAAGCAGCCCAGACCAACTCAATCGGGTTAAAAATGCAGTAATAGGGAGGTAGACGTAATACTTCATGGCCACTTTGCTGAAGCAGATTGTCAACAACATACTCTTTTTCAAATTTTTGTCTTTTAATAAGATCCAATAATATGGCTTTGGTTGATTTTTGTGGTATTTCCATTCCCTTATCCTTCATGAAATCAATAATGTCTTGTTTTTTTGTGCCTGTATTCGGAATTTTGTTTTTCTGTCGGGAATGGTATGGCGCATTGTCCATAATAATCACTGAATTTGGGGAAATGTTTGGTATTAACTGCTGCTCTATCCACTTTTCAAATAAGTCGGAGGTCATGTCCTCATGATAGTCGGCACATGATTCTTTGATATTTTTGGCAGATAACAGCAAGGCATTAGGTATAAATCCATTTTCACTGCCAGCATGGAGAATAATGATTCGTTTTCCACGGTTGCATGGTGCATTTAAAATGCACTTGTTGCTGTCGTCAACCCAGCCGTACTGCACAACATCATGGGTATCATACCACGTTTCATCCAGGTAAATCAGATTTCTTTTCTGCTCTCTATAGATTTTAACTTTGTGCAAAAATTCTTGGCGTAATTCAACGATTCGAGACGACTCCATAATCACCATTCTTTTATGTAATTTTTTGTATTGAAAACCACACAGTTTTACAATACAGTGCAGTGAGTCTAAGCATTTGTAATTATAAAAATCTTCAGGATAATCTTTTAATTTATCCCGTATCATTTCCAACGTGGGCATCAAATTTTCTTTATAAAATCCCTACATTATACGACGAATATCTTCCTGAAAACCCACGTCTATTCTTTTTAATTTTTGCCCTATGCGCTTTTTGTGGAAGGAATGGTTGACTACATCTCCCCTTTTTATAACCCGATAAATGGTAGACCGACTGATTTTTGTCAGGATACAAATTCTGTTTAAAATTTGATTTTGCGAGGAATCTGGATTTTCGTTTTTCAGACAATCATACATATTTAGGATTACTCTTTGGGTCTGTTCCTCTAAATCTTTATGAAAGAATTCTGCCTGCACAGGTTCATCAACCATCTCCTCATGGCTTGGAGCATTTTCCCAAGGTCTCCAAAGAGCCATATTTAGGACACACAAGAACAATCAACACAACAATTAAATCAACAAGTAAACAGTATTCAAAAGTCAAAAACACACAAACTAATAAAATCTATGAAAAAACACGGACAGACTAAAGAAAACACGTTTATTCACCGCTACACGGCACTGGCTAAACTGTTTCAATTTTCAGTAGCCACCTGCACTTGTTCAGAGCTCTGAAATACACGCTTTCTCATTGGCTATGTCCACGCATAGGCGTGCTTTACTCCACGTGGACCGGTGAAACTGCCTTTGATCTTATATTTGCTGCGAAATTTGGCGATTTTTGCAGCAACAGAGCGTGTTAAATATAGATATATAAAACGCACCCGGTATTTCACAGTGTTTCAAGTGACTTCAGATAAAGTATACATGCATAAATGATTCTATTTATATAACTGATGTAAATGTGTATAAATATGAACGTAGAGATAATTGTGTAGCTAGATAATGGATCATTGAACAAAACAAAATGTTACAGGGTTCAAAACCTCTTCAACTGCCCCCTTGGCAACCAGGTCCAAAAGGCAAATTAGAAGTGTATGCAAGAGTGGGATACACACCAATGGACCAACAGCCCTCCCCACAACCTGGGAACCAACGTCAAAATTGCTTATGATGACATCCATACACATGATTAATTTATATTTACTTATATCATTAATAAAAAATACTAAATGTTTGTATTCTCTTTTTCAAGAGAGCCATAGGCGTTCAAAAAGTCATATTTAGCTGCTGGTGGAATACTACATTTAAAAAATTTAGGACGCTTTTGTTCATCAAGTACTGTATTTTGGAACCATTAAACTGTACAAGATTGATGCGTCCCCATGCAATGATAACTCCCAGGTTTCTGGTTAGAGTAGAAGTCGCCGCTAGACTTCTTTTTACCAACTCACCGGCAGAGATCGGCTTGTCGCTCTGAATTCCTGCATGTAGAGTACTGTCATCATCAAAGCTGTGGGTTGGGTTGTTCGTACAGGAAAGGCAGTCGTTCTGTAAGAGGACAGTGTCGACACCAAGACCGATACCCTGGGAGCACCCGCATTGACGTGGGACGAAGAGGAGGGTCCGTCACTTACGACGGGTATTTGTTTGTTTGTTGAAGATTTATTTAGCATTAATGCTACAAATTCAATTTTGTATAATTATTCCCTTACACATTTTATTTCAATCCATGTTCTTCTACATTCCTGTAACATCACTATGCATTTTGAGTATTCTTCAAGTGAGTTTTTTAATTTTACCTTAAACATTTTTAAATTCGAACACTGTTTAAGATCATTATGCAATTTATTAAATTCAAATACTCCCTTTTTGAATACGGATTTGCTAGTTATTCTACCATTACAATTTTGCAGATGAAAATCTATACTGCTTCTAGTTTCGTAGTTATGATAATAACTATTTAATTTTTTGAAGTTTTCTATATGTGGTGGTGATAAATGATTTTTTAATTTGAATATTAAAATGAGAACTAAATAACATATGAAATTTTTCACATTCAACCACTGTAGTTGTTCTAACATAGACTTAATCCCAGCATATTTGTTTTTATTTAAAATGATTCTCATAGCTTTATTTTGTAGAATTTGTAATTTTGAAAATATGCTTTCATTTGCTGTAAACAAGACGGATGAACAACATAAAAAGAATTATAGTGTTATATACAATTTTTTTGAATACATACTAAGTTTATGTGAAACTCTAGAAGTAATTTATCTTTTTTGATATTTTGAAATAATGTATTCATAATGCTCGTAAAACAGAACAGATAAAATTGCCGAAACGTAATTTGGACTTTAGTTTTCAGTGTGCCAGTGTGCTTCCGCCAGATCATACCCTTATCGAGGATATTTCACGAAATTTTCATATGGTATCGATCTTCCCACTTTCTCAGCACATTGTAACTAGTCATGGACTAGGTCACCAAACCTGTATCGACAGCATAAATGTCATCAAAACGGTTGCTGGGACTAGCGGGACGTCGTAAATGAACAGAGAATAAATGATTGGTCCAATGACCGAACTCTAAGGGACACTGGCACTTATAGTACGTGTTGTTGACAGAACAATAATTTAGACTTCTTTAAAGCGCTTTTTTGTTATAGCCCCAGTTTCTAAAAATAAAATGGGAGTAAAACCAGCAATAAAATACAGTAAAACAACGAAAGTGTGCAATCTCATATATTATTAATCAGGTAAAAATAGATTTTCTCATTAAATACAATTCGACGGAGTATAGATAAACCTTATGCATGAATTGGACTTACGCCAGTGAAAAATCTGATGAGTGTTAAATATTCCGAGACGTTGATTTCCTGGAACATTTTTACGTCTTTACATTTTCAGGAATTTGGAAACAATTATAATATAACGTATGCAGTCAAACACCTCACGTTTTGATACGAATCTGCATGAAAATACTAATGTGCAGCGCAGAACATGTACCTATAAGTACGTTATAAAAATACAAAAGCTAATGAACCACGAATTGACTGGAATAATATTATTGTTGCGGTTTATCATCGTTTGTGATAATGGAACACGTTTCGATAAATTGCTAGAATTATGTAGAACATGTTTGTATAAGTACTCATTGTTAAAATGATTATAGCGGTCATAATAATTAATTGAGGTGACACATGAGAGATAACACACATAAAGCAACGGTTTTAAGATGACTTTTAAAAACCCATTTATCAACATGTTCGATTAATAGGAACCAAAGTGGGATCGTCATCGAAAATTCTTCAATTTGTGATTACTTTTCACATGTCTATATCATAAAATTCCATTTCACCTGTTTTGATTGGATCTGTCGATGCGTCTATTGGTATTCATTTGAATATGAAATATTGGTATTACTGGTGCATAGCTTTTGTTATCTTTGAATAACCCGTAAATTGGAATAGTGGGATTTTAATGTCTGCAAAAGCACCTTCAATCTTTTGATGCTATAATGAGATACGACATGGAATATGTATAATAATGTTTTTTTTGCCGTGGACAACCTAGCTACCTATTGAAAAGCCTTTTCTATAGTCTCGATAATTTTCGTTGTTCCGATTTCTAGTTTATTATCCTCTCATATCTATTTTTGTAGGTCGGTATATTGGCCAGAGTGTGTCTTATTGTCTGGCTTGATGTTTGAGTGATTCCTATATTTAGTTTGAGGAAACAGGTGGGTTTTTGTTCTCATACTACGCCACAATGTTACTTTATCTGCGTTTTCTCAATTTTGATAAGTGGAATTCGAACCAAAGCTGCTCAATTCAAGGCTGTATTGTACCTATGATATTAAATCACTAGGATATTCATATAGGAGGGAGATAAAAATTACGTTGGTTGAAAAAGATATAGGTACATAGGTAATGTATAGCTTGGCAAGAAATTATCGGGTACTACTCGTGACCATCTATAAATGGATTTTATAAGCACATATCAATATTATCATCAGTTTTTATTAGTAAACAGTTATGAGAAATGAAAAATAGGCGAAATTATTTTCTGACGAAATACATTTATTTGTGACGTATTTTCATAACTGCAAGAATGTAACTGCTAGACGGACAAGGCTATATCAACTCCTGTATATTTATAAAATTATTTTAATTGTCTAAAAGCCCTTATCAAAGTAAAACATCCAAATTGAAGGAAAATTCGGAAAATAATTATTGTTGAGGAAATGAATCAGCTGATTCGATCAATAACGAGGCCAGTAAGGTCATCGAACAAAGAGCAGCTCGTAGTCAGTGTCGCCAATATGCTAACCTTAGATACAGAAATTCCCTAGATGCTTTCTGCCCAATATGTGCTTTATTTTACGTTGGGTAGAGCCTTGTCCGCATCCAGATTCTACAAAATCTCTTTTTTAATCCGTATACTACAAAAATTTGATACTTTCATGTAGAATAACGGTTGTTATACACAATTTTAAAACTGAGTATTTTGGGTTCGAGATTACGAAGGAGTGGGGGATGTCAAAGGTATAAAAGTCACAGCTGGTCGACCGCCATTTTAATATTTGTCGTGCAGCGTTACAAAAAGATATCAGTGTTCCAACAAATAAACTTTGTGATTATTTGTGAATATTGTGATAAGACCAGAGACTATAAAGTGAGATGTAAGTATTTCAAATCACCATAATGTTTTTTTTCCAAGAAATTCCCTACTTCAGTTTCCTAAGTGACGCATTTTCCTTGTTTTCAACAACAAAATTGCCATTAGTGATATTTTTTGCTGAAATTCATTAATATCCCATCATGTAAGTCATTATTCACCGATATGTTCAAGACCCGAACGAAATCCTTTGTTCCAACTGTGCGTCTCGACGCCATTTTGGATCTCCGCCCATAAACGTAGTTAATAACGTAATTATCTATTTCAGAATGCAGATCTTCGTGAAAACCCTGACTGGGAAAACCATCACCCTTGAAGTCGAGCCCTCCGATACCATTGAGAACGTCAAGGCCAAGATCCAGGACAAAGAGGGCATCCCTCCAGATCAACAAAGGTTGATCTTTGCTGGTAAGCAACTTGAAGATGGAAGAACCCTTTCTGACTACAACATTCAGAAGGAATCTACCCTCCACTTGGTGCTGAGACTCAGAGGTGGAATGCAGATCTTTGTGAAGACCCTAACTGGCAAGACCATCACCCTTGAAGTAGAGCCATCTGACACCATCGAGAATGTCAAGGCTAAGATCCAGGACAAAGAAGGAATCCCCCCAGATCAACAAAGGTTGATCTTTGCTGGTAAGCAACTTGAAGATGGAAGAACCCTTTCTGACTACAACATTCAGAAGGAATCTACCCTCCACTTGGTGCTGAGACTCAGAGGTGGAATGCAGATCTTTGTGAAGACCTTAACTGGCAAGACCATCACCCTTGAAGTAGAGCCATCTGACACCATCGAGAATGTCAAAGCTAAGATTCAGGACAAAGAAGGCATTCCTCCAGATCAGCAGAGGTTGATCTTTGCTGGCAAGCAACTGGAAGATGGAAGAACACTCTCAGACTACAATATCCAGAAAGAATCCACCCTCCACTTGGTGTTGAGACTCAGGGGTGGAATGCAAATCTTCGTAAAAACCTTGACTGGCAAGACTATTACCCTGGAAGTTGAACCGTCTGACACCATTGAGAATGTCAAGGCTAAGATCCAGGACAAAGAAGGCATCCCCCCAGATCAGCAGAGGCTTATCTTTGCTGGCAAGCAGCTAGAAGATGGAAGAACTCTTTCTGACTACAACATCCAGAAAGAATCTACCCTCCACTTGGTGCTGAGACTCAGAGGTGGAATGCAGATCTTTGTGAAGACCTTAACTGGCAAGACCATCACCCTTGAAGTAGAGCCATCCGACACCATCGAGAATGTCAAAGCTAAGATTCAGGACAAAGAAGGCATTCCTCCAGATCAGCAGAGGTTGATCTTTGCTGGCAAGCAACTGGAAGATGGAAGAACCCTTTCTGACTACAACATTCAGAAGGAATCTACCCTCCACTTGGTGCTGAGACTCAGAGGTGGAATGCAGATCTTTGTGAAGACCTTAACTGGCAAGACCATCACCCTTGAAGTAGAGCCATCTGACACCATCGAGAATGTCAAAGCTAAGATTCAGGACAAAGAAGGCATTCCTCCAGATCAGCAGAGGTTGATCTTTGCTGGCAAGCAACTGGAAGATGGAAGAACACTCTCAGACTACAATATCCAGAAAGAATCCACCCTCCACTTGGTGTTGAGACTCAGGGGTGGAATGCAAATCTTCGTAAAAACCTTGACTGGCAAGACTATTACCCTGGAAGTTGAACCGTCTGACACCATTGAGAATGTCAAGGCTAAGATCCAGGACAAAGAAGGCATCCCCCCAGATCAGCAGAGGCTTATCTTTGCTGGCAAGCAGCTAGAAGATGGAAGAACTCTTTCTGACTACAACATCCAGAAAGAATCTACCCTCCACTTGGTGCTGAGACTCAGAGGTGGTATGCAGATCTTCGTCAAGACACTTACTGGTAAAACAATCACCTTGGAAGTTGAACCTTCTGATACAATTGAGAATGTTAAAGCTAAGATCCAGGATAAAGAAGGCATACCTCCAGACCAGCAGAGGTTGATCTTTGCTGGTAAGCAATTAGAAGATGGCAGAACACTTTCTGACTACAATATTCAGAAAGAATCCACCCTGCACTTGGTACTTAGGTTGCGAGGAGGTATGCAGATTTTTGTGAAGACATTGACTGGTAAAACTATCACCCTTGAAGTAGAACCTTCAGACACCATAGAAAATGTGAAGGCCAAAATCCAAGATAAGGAAGGTATCCCACCAGATCAACAAAGGTTGATCTTTGCTGGTAAGCAACTAGAAGATGGTAGAACTCTCTCAGACTACAATATCCAAAAAGAATCAACTCTTCACCTGGTACTTCGTCTTCGAGGAGGAATGCAAATTTTTGTGAAGACGCTCACTGGAAAAACCATTACCTTAGAAGTTGAACCATCCGACACAATTGAGAATGTAAAGGCCAAAATTCAGGATAAAGAAGGAATTCCTCCAGATCAGCAGAGATTAATCTTTGCTGGTAAACAGCTGGAAGATGGTAGGACTCTATCTGATTACAATATTCAGAAAGAATCCACACTGCATTTAGTATTACGACTTAGAGGAGGCATGCAAATATTCGTGAAAACTTTAACAGGAAAAACCATCACCTTAGAAGTTGAACCTTCAGATACAATCGAAAATGTGAAAGCTAAAATCCAAGACAAAGAAGGTATTCCTCCAGACCAGCAACGTCTGATCTTCGCTGGCAAACAACTGGAAGATGGTAGAACCCTATCTGACTACAATATCCAAAAAGAATCTACACTCCATTTGGTATTGAGACTTAGAGGAGGTATGCAGATTTTTGTTAAAACTTTGACAGGAAAAACCATCACATTGGAAGTTGAACCTTCAGATACTATTGAAAATGTAAAAGCAAAAATTCAAGATAAAGAAGGTATCCCTCCAGACCAACAAAGGTTAATTTTTGCTGGTAAACAACTGGAAGATGGCAGAACTCTGTCAGATTACAACATCCAGAAAGAGTCAACTTTGCACTTGGTACTTCGTCTTAGAGGTGGTATGCAAATTTTTGATACCTTGACAGGGAAAACCATCACTTTGGAAGTAGAACCCTCAGACACAATAGAAACTGTAAATGCAAAAATTCAAGACAAAGAAGGTATTCCTCCAGATCAACAGAGATTGATCTTTGCTGGTAAGCAGTTGGAAGATGGAAGAACTCTGTCAGACTACAACATCCAGAAGGTGTCCACACTTCACTTGGTGCTGCGACTTAGAGGAGGATTTTAGGAAGTTTCAATTTCTATGACTGCAATTTTTTTTTAATTTTGTTACTCTTATGCTTTAATGATACTAAACAGAAATTGAAGTAAAGAAAATGTCTTTCCGCAGCAGAATTTTATTTATTCTACCTAGACTTTCATTTTTCCAAATTGAGTAAAAAAATTGTAGTATTTAAATTTTTTAATTATTATTTGAAAGACCAGTTTCTGAAAGGTTTGAGTGTCATTTCTTCAGTTTTAATATTGCGTCACTGGTGTAATCGATTTTAGAAGTTTTTAACTCTCATTTTGATAGAAGTTCCACAAATCATTGTCTACTACTCCTACATGACACATGACTATGCTTGATATATTTTTATTTGCATTTTGTTTTATCTTCTAGGATGATTTGACATTCACATGGATATGGAAAACTAGGATTACTTTTTTGAAACATTCAAGCAAACAAATTATGAACTCTGTTGTATATTATATAGAGAGAATGCATAGGCCACCCATCTTGAAATATATTCTGGGTAACTTTTTTATCAGATTTCAAAGTTGTCTATAGAAGAATTGGGAAAGGGATGAAAACGCCTTCAAAATGGGTATGAGCTGTTCATTGCGACAGTTAATTATTACAAAAAAACGTTCATTTTTTACCGAAAAGTGCATATGAAATAGTAGCCAAAAGTCTTTGTAGTGACTGAAACGATCTTAAAAAATGCTTAAGCTATCCCGTGACGTGACTGCTGCAACTGATTAAACATTCAGGGCGAGCTTTTAGGATCCAGTTGGACAATATCTCGATTACCATAATCAAAAATTGTGAGGTATACTCTTCCTACTTGGAATATACCGCTCTGTATAGGTTGATCCAATATAACAAAAACAATTTTTGTTGAATAGAACACCGTACATCTATTAGTATAATCTAATATGCTGCTTCAAAGGAAACAGTTTTGATATAGTTGAGGATATAGCTTATTATATTAATTCTGGAAATATTTTCTCATTGTCGATATTTATTCGTTTTTTTTTCTACAATTACTTGAAATTTCGTCATACAGCCAAAAATACTTGCACCTAGTTTATTCCAGAATGACTTGAAAAACAATTTGTCGTATTTTCATCATTGTGATCTCTGAAAGGGTAAGAGACACGGATCGGTTGTTGAATGGTGGCAAGGTTGGGTATTTATATATTAGAAAATGCATTTTAAATGCTTTGACGCTTCCACTATCTGAAGAGATACTTGAAAAAGGGAACAAGTTTTCCAAAATTCGTATCTATTTTTCTCAATTTATTGGAGATTCTGTACACTGACATTGCCACTTTCTGATCTCTGTAAGGTAGGATAAATAGAACATTAATATGATTTTTTGTCTCATATCCCCCGTCTCAATTTTGATTTTTCTTATGTATGCCACTTTTGCATATGCGGATAACTTTTAATTTTGATTTCAAGTATTATAGCATGCCATGCATTATTATAAAAAAAACTTTTCTTTTATAAGCCTTGAAATTATCATATACCTAGTTATGTATTTCACAGAATACAAAGGATGAGATGTTACGGATTGATGTAAAACTTCAAGTTGGTTTAAACCCACTGAATGAGGAACAACATAATGTAACTAATTTATATTATTTAAGGATAATAATGAATAAACGTCGAAAACTGTAATTTTAAAAAAGTGACCTGAAGTGTAAGATCAAAATTCTAATTAAGAGCCCCTTCCCACTTCAGTTGGCCCAACTATTGAAATCTTAGTTTTTTTCTTATCAAACACAAATAATAAAAATGTAGCAGGGTGTTATAGGTTTAAAATATTAACAATGAATATTTTGATAATATAACCAAGTTTATCACTCTCTAATCAAATTTGCAGCATAAAAATAACACATGTTGCAATTACAGCTTATTAACCTATTTTCATTTCAATGCAAAATAAGTCTATAAGGTTTTCAAAATGGGTAGAGGAAAGGTTATTAGTGATAAAATTCGGGTACTGATAATCAAATTCTTTAATTATGGGAAATCAAACTCAGAAATTGCAACTTTGTTAGACTTATCGCGGTACAGTGTGAGAAATATTGTTAGAAGATATAACGTAACTGGATCAGTTAATATTAAGCCACGATATGTGAAAAAAAGTAATATCACAAATGCCGACCGAAGAGCATTAAGAAGAGTAATCGTGAAAAATAGGCGTGCCAATTATTTACAATTAAGTGCTCTGTGGAGTGACGCTGTTGGAAGGAGAATTTCGAGGTCCACAACTCATAGAGAGGCCCACAAACTGGGATTTAGCACTTTCAAGGTAAGTTTTCTTGTAAAAAAAATAAAAATAAACCCTAAAGTTGCACAACTTGTTTATAGGCCAAAGAAAAGCCACTATTAACTCCACTGCAAAAGAAAAATCGGCTTAGATGGGCTAAAGAACATAGACAATGGACACCTCAACAATGGTGTGCAACACAATGGAGTGATGAGGCCCGATTCGAAGTTTGTGTTGGTGACAGCCGCAGTAGAGTTATTCGCAAAAAAATGAAGCATTCCATGTTGACTGTCTGAAGAGAAAAGTGAAATTTCCAGCATCCATTATGGTCTGGGGCAGTATGTCATCAAAAGGAGTAGGAAAACTTCATTTTATTGATGGAAATGTGAATACAAACAAATATTTGACAATTTAAGAAGAATCGCTTTTACCAGTGATGGAAGAATGTTTGACATCCGACCAAGATTTTGTGTTTCAGCAAGATGGTGCAGCGTGCTATACCTCAAAAAAGGCTATAAAATGGACGGAAGAAAAAATTGTACCACTTTTGAAATGGGTTTCTAGCAGTCCAGATCTGTCACCTATTGAAACTTTGTGGCACGAGATGAAAAAGGTTCTACGACAACATCCTGCTCGTACAATCACCGAACTGAGACAAAAGCTTCAAGAAATATGGGATTGTTTTTGCCAAAACTTTGTTAACACTATGCCCCAAAGAATTTCAGCCGTAATAAAAAATAAAGGTGATGTTACCCAATGGTAATCTTTCAATTGTTGCTTTGTTAACTTCAGGCATTTATTCGCACATTGTTTATTTGTTCAGATGTTCTATTAATTATAGGTCTAAGTAATTTCAAATATGTATTTTTTAAGACTAGAGTGTATCTAAAATGTTTTTGAGAAAATAAATTGTTTTAGAAGTAAATAGTTTCGTCATGTTTAGTTTATAAAGGCATATTTTGGTACAAATCTTGAAGTGGGCCAACTGAAGTGGGAAGGGGCTCGCATGTCAGCGTGTAGAAGAGAAAAAGTGTAAATGTAATCTGATAATTTCAAGGCCTACCTAAGAACATGTGTATTTTCTGGAATAACCAAGGTTTGGCAATTTCAATGTATGAAATTATACATTTTTTTGCAAAAATCTAATATAGCGCCCATAAAAGAAAATAAAGTTGATGCTGGAGGACAAGAGACGAAACTTCATATTCAAATTCTAATTATCCCATCTTGTAGAGGCAATGTTAACATACAATTTATTTTGAAATTCCTCTACAATTAAATTCAGGAAAACATTAAAACGATTTTGGGAAAATTCGTTTCTTTCTAAGTGGCATTTTGTTGATTATCTAAATACGCAACTTTGCTCCCATTAAGCGACTTCGTATCTCTTAGTTTCCTAGATTCCAATGGCGAGGGTCGAAGTTGAAACACCCTGAATAGTGCTTTTAGCAAAATTAACTTTATATTTGAGATATATTTCAACTAATCCTAGTAATTTTTCATCTAATAGATATTGATTCAGCTCGTGGAGAACCATGAATATTTAAATTTTTATAGAAAATGTCCTCTCCAATTAATTTTAGCCGAGCTAGGGAAAAAGGGGCGCAGCTCATTTTCCACATCAATTTTTATTGTAACAAAAATGATTTCTTGATTGACTTTACCATTAATCACGTTCAGATTGATCACCACATACATTTGAACCTACCACCACATACATTTGAACCTACCCTACCCCTACCAGGCAAATTTTAAATTTTCACCATAATAATCTGCTTCTCTGTATGGCGTTCATTTGGATAAATTAGGCGTTTACTAATATAAATATACTCCAACAGCACCATTTTTACTGTGGTATTTGCCACATATACACGGAATATTCGGTGTCATGATCACTTTGCTTAGCCCGGCAGTAAATAAAATCACAAACGTTGAACAAAGCATGTTGTTGCAATCTTGACTTGGACAATTTTCTTGAGTGAAACACCTTAGGTTCCTGTATGTACGGTATTTTCAGAGGATTTATTTTTTAAATATTTAGAATCTTGCAAGGATATAGTTTTCACATAAAATTTAAGACAATTGAAGACACGAGTGGATGAAGGTGCTATGTTACAAAATTCGGATTTCAAGAAAATTAGGTTTAAAGTTTTTCATTGCAAAACTTTTCTCACATGTACTTTTATTAGATAGGAACTTCTCGTTTTCGTTACTAATATATGGAATATTTTATTTACGGAAAATATCAAGAAAAATGTCTATAAAATTTGAAAAAAGTACATAACACCATCCACTGCAAAATTCTATGTAAATTAAAACAACGCTTTTATGGAAGGCTGTATTAAAGAAAATCATACCTAATCAGCTAACAAAACGTGAAACAACAATAAACTATTTTTGCTTAATATAAGGTAATAACAGTTTAATGACAAATTATTTTGTTTCCAAGATTGGTTCACAGTAAATGAAATGCGTCCACCTCTCCGCCTGCTAAATTATAGTAGTCTCAGGCTCGCGGCGGGCTGGAGTGCGTTTTCTGAGATACGTCACAAATCTCTTATGCCAAACAATAGCTTTGCTCAAGCGGCATTTGAGGTGAACCAAGTCTCCACACCTTAAACATAACTATGTTATTACGTTATTTGCTCATTACCCAGAAATGGATGGTAATTTTTGAACCAGGTACGTCATATTATCTGTTGCTAAAACCCTTAACTTGAATTGTTACAATGGAAATGTACATTTAGTTGACACATACATTGCGTACAATTTGTGTAGTTGTGTACAACCTATCGTTTACTATTGCATCTCGTTAGTAGTATGTTGTTGCAACTAGGTTTGAACATC